AATGCCACTGAAGTCTCTGATAAACATTTTTAAATTGGTAAGATTTTAGTATATGTGTTAACTTTTTGAAAATTGAAATAAAAAGCAAATGAACCTTTGCAAATATATGGAAATATCTGTCTTCAGATCATTTAAATATTTCACAGTTTACTAAAAATACATAGAAGTGAAGGAGAGGATTAGTAAACAAGAGATTTTCCTGGAAGAGAAGAATTGCCAAATCTATTGTGAATGTTCATTTTCTTTTCTTCTTATTCCTATGTTAATATTAATAAATCCTTAGAGGATGAGACAGCTTGGACAAATTTGATTAATTAGGAGTTCTGCACATTAACACTCCAAGTTGACGCAATGATCCATAATTAGCCTATCACTCTGACCCTTCATTTGGTTGGTATCAGACCACTTAGACCATGTATTTACTTCTTTCCACAGTTCCCTGCATCTAGAATCTTCTAAGTGACATTATTCCTTTCCAACCAGGGAACATGAGGCTTAGCGTTCCTTATGCACTAATAATGGGAGGGTGCTCTGATCCACACTCCTTGGTCATCACTCAGCAGAGAAGCAGATTCACCCAGTAAGTGCTGAGAGATGGTTGATGTGGGAAGGAATATTGGAAGATTTTTCCCTCATTCAGAGAACAAACCTGGTAATGTGGTAATCAGGTGGGAAGATACAAATATTAATAAGTTCACTTATGAAAACTGTGAAGTATATATTCTTGGCTGTGGTGTTAGCAACTAGAAATCTTATTCAGAATTTCCTTTCTGCTCACATTGTTTCTAAATTGTAGATATCTCACTCACAGCAGTAGGTAATGTTTGTCTGAATTCTTTCCTTAGCAAAAAATGATGAAGAAGAGGACAGTAATAATATGACTTTCAATTGTTTTACAGATCTTTCCCATTTCCAGTGGCTCAGCAATATCTTTTCTATATTTTGTCTTATTTCAGATATTTCAACTTGTTCTAGTTAAATGTGCCCATATTATCATCTTATGGAAAGTGAGTGAGTACATTGCTCCTATGTAACCAGTACTAGGTTTATCAGTACAAATGAGAGAAACCATGGCAGCATTGGACTGATTATAGACATAGGGCTCAATATCATGGGAATAGTGGCAGGTTCCCCTCACAAAACATCCAGAAATTCTATGTTATTCTGACCAAAGGAAAATATACTTTATTACTGTAATCTTCCTTTTGGTATTCATTGTATACCTCAAGGCAAAATATTATATGCCATTATCTATTTTCTAGAGGGAGGGTATTCAATTGTCACAGACAAAGATAGCAGTATGCATATCATAGTTCAGAACAGATGTCTCTCTTACAGCTACTCCAGGATATTCTCATTCTATTATCATTATATTATTATACTGGAGGTACATTGTGACATTTCCAAATGTGCTGACAATATATCTTGGCTAAATAAAACTTCTCCATCATTCTGCCCCATTCATTTTCCCCAGAATAGTTTCAAAAAGTCTCATTTTTCCATTTTCATACACAAAAATATATTTCCATGAAATTCACCCTTCGTCACCCTTTGCTTATATTCTCCTCCCTCCCACTGATACCAACCCCAGAAAGGAACTGTTTTACTATCCTGTCCTTCATTTTTGAAAAAAGACATTTTTGTTTGTTTAAGATAGTTACATAGGGATTTTCTTTTTGAAATTTCCATGTACTTAATGTATTGCTTTCCCACATCCTTCTCTATGCTTTTATTAGTCCAAAATCACCAAAGAAGGCATAATGTCAGGTCGTGGTTTCAATCCTACTGAGGAAACTTAACAAAGTTGGAAAATCTGCATTCAAAGTACCTGTATTTAAGACCTCTGCTTATTTATATGGATTGTGAACAAGAAAAATTACTGCATTAGATGCAGAGTCTGATAATGCAATTTATTTTCTCTAAGTAGCCCAGATGCCCTCAACTCACAACCAGTTCAGTTTCCCAAGTACTGGAATTACAGGCATTGTCTACCACACCAGGATCTTGAAATTTAGTTTTTAATCATGGTGGCCTCACTTATTTCATTTATGGTAATTTGTTAGTGTCTTTGAGAGTCATTTTTGATCATTTAAGTCAATATACAGTTGAGAGGACTACACTCAGAAAATGAGTGCTGCATATGGGGATAATGTGTGATGTATATCAAAAATTGACCAAAATAAAATTCAGATATTATTACTAATATCAAGGTTGATTTCCCTATCATCCAGTCCTACCATTAAAGTTAAATATCTTGTAATGTGATTTTAATTGTTTTCTTATTTCTATAGCAGGAAATTTTATTTTGTTCTTTTTATTACCACAAGCATATATTTAGAAAGACATGAAATACTGTCTTTTATTTCCATCTATACCTATAGCTATTTTTGATACTACCTATACATTAACTAGCAAAAATACAGATGAACTCTCTATACAAGAATGAATACATATTGTTAAACCTGTTGAAAGCATCATAAGAAGAGGAGTGAGGTAGAAAGAAGTAAAATAGAGTAGATGAATCAATTCAGGTTATAATACAAATATACATGGAAATCTCACAAGGAAACTCCCTATGTAGCTATCTTAAACAAACAAAAATGTCATTTTTTTCTTTTACAAAATCAGAGAACATGAGGACAGAACATGTCATGTCTGGGGGAGTAGCTGCTACCAGTGGGAGGGAGGAGATGGGGAATGGGTGTGAAAGGATGAATATAGTGCAAATACTTTGTACCCATGTATTTAAGTGGAAAAACGATACCTGCTAAAACTGTTCTAGCAATGGTGGTTGGGAGGTAATAAAGTAGAATGGTGGATATATTTGATACATTGTAAGAAATTCTGTAAATGTCACAATGTACTGCTACCCAGTACAACAGTAAAAATATTAAAACAAAACAGAAACAAAAAAAATCTCTGTTAAATGCTAAGTGAGTCCTTCCTTGGTTTTAAAACAGTGGATATAAGCAGTGAGGCTTCAACATGTTTGGTGCTATCTGCCATTTGATCCTTTGCAGGAGTGTTCCTTCAAATTAGAACAAGATAAAATATCTCTTGTTTGCAGGAATATCATGGAACCATGACCACTATAACTTTTTAATCACATCTTCATTAATTACTCAAAAATCACAGCAGAAATTTTCCTAGATAAAAAGCACCAATCAAAGGTGGTAGTAAAAATTATGCCTGAAGTTGAGATACATTGTTAAAATACACACAATGCAGGCTACAATGCCATTTGAAAAGTTTGTTAGTGAGCTTGCTACTTCCATCATGATGGAGTTCTTTTTTCTTTAAATCCATCATGGTCAGCACTTTTTGTCATACTTCCTTTGGGGGCCACACATGTTGTGTATGTGCAGTCATTCTCCCTATTTTCATTAAGTAATATGAACACAGATGGATTGAACAAATATTCTGCATATTTAGATAAATCAATGATTTGGCACAAAGTATTCATTTTCAATTCCTGATCCTCGTATTATCTCCTCCTCTGGAGCCTCATGGAAAAATTATGTGTTGAAATTTCATGGTGTATTGTGAAAAATAGGACAATTGCAGGAATAGCTTCAGGGTTAAAATTCATAGCAATCTTAATAAGAAGATGTAGATGATAATGAGTAATTTTTAAAAGTAAAACAAATGTAATTGACTAAGAGTCAAACTGAACATGCATTAAGGATTATAAATCAGCACACCATCTCATTCAAGAACATTTATTCAAATTCTCACTTTTGTTACATTAAGTGATGAACACAGATAGTGAAACGACTGTCATAACTATGAACTTGCAAGTTAAATAATGTCTCTCTGACACTGGATGATGTAAACTATAAAGTATTATATGGTAAGGTAATAGCTGTTATGCTTTGTACTATATAAATGGGCTTGAGGCACTTTTTTCATAAATTATTTGACGAAAAAATTTTATAGATACATAAATAAATACTGACATAGACATATTGTCAGGAAAATATACCCACCAAATTCATGAAAATAGTGCCTTTCCTGAACAGGTGTGCAAGAAAAAATATCATGCAGTTACCAAGATCTCTAAGTACATATGTAAAATTTTAGAACTGTATGAAATATTACTTCTGAAGCAAATATTAGCAAATGTTCATATGCTAGTATGGGAATATGTGACAACTATAATAATAGTAATAATAATAATGGAGCATTTTCTATATGTAAAGAAACATTCCAAGACAGTGGCCACTTCTCTAGCTAAGGAAGTAACAAATAACTTCAAGTGCTGTTATTTTCACGATACAGGTTTTGATATGAAGTCAGGCTATTTGCATTTTTTAAAATGTCCACAAGTTCATTTATAAATATGTTTATAGATAAGATGAAAGCTGCTGGGTAGCTAATTAAAAATATAAGGTACATTCTTAAGGTAGGCAAATATTATCCACATTTACCTGCACAGGTGTGTACAGGCACATAATGATGTGTTCTGATTAGAAACTATACCAACATTAATTTGGTGTTTCCATAAGGCAATCCTTGCTTTTGCAGAGGGTTGATCAATATTTTATGCCTGGGGAAATTATATCAGTGTCTTAGGATGGAATAAGGCATAAATGTGCACTTCTAATTTCCTTCAATCAGAATATTTTTCTTAAATGTGTGTGAGAATATTTATTCTACATTTTTTTAAATGAGTGGGATATATCTTACTGTCACTGTGGACTTGGCAATACTAATGTTCTGGGTGTTCTAACATGCTTTACTTGAGTGGCACTACATTAGGTGTTTAACAACTAAGAACAAGGTGAACGATATATAAACTATTAGCATAAGAATGCTAAGAAGATTGGGTTTGTCCCAAATGAGAAATGCAACAAGTATATGAAACTGAAAGGTGACATTTTTACTTGTCAGTACCTGTGTTCAAAATATATAATGTCCTGGATGTATTTTGTTTTACCAAATTTTTTCAATAACATTTCTTTTCCAAAAGGAATCTGAGCAATATAGAAGCAATGAATTTAACCCGTGTCTCAGAATTCCAACTCATGGGCTTCTCAGGAGACCCTGGCCTACAGCCTGTCTTCTTTGGACTGTTCCTGTCCATGTATCTGATCTCAGTGGTTGGGAATCTGCTCATCATCCTAACCATCAGCTCTGACTACCACCTCCACACCCCCATGTACTTCTTCCTCTATAACCTATCCTTGGCTGACATCTGTTTCATCTCTACCACAGTCCCAAAGATGATTATGAATATAAAGACTCACAGCAGAACTATCTCGTATATGGGGTGCCTGACACAGATGTCTCTTTTTATCATTTTTGTATGTATGGATAATATGCTTCTGACTGTGATGGCCTATGACCGGTTTGTGGCCATCTGTCACCCTCTGCATTATACAGTAATTATGAACCATCACCTCTGTGTTTTCTTAGTTTTGGTGTCATTTGCACTCAGTGTATTTGAATCCCAGATCCACAATTTGATTGTATTACAGATTTCTTGTTTCAAGGATTTAGAAATTGCCAATTTCTTTTGTCATCCTTCTGAACTCCTTAACCTTGCCTGTACATACAAATTTAGTCATACCATACTTATTTATATTATTGGTGTCATACTTGGTATTTTCCCTGTTTTAGGGATCATTTTCTCATACTGTAAAATTATTTCCTCCATTTCAAATATTTCAACCTCCAATGGAAGGAAGAAAGCCTTCTCCACATGTGGGTCTCACCTGTCAGTTGTATGTTTATTTTATGGAACAGCCCTTGGAGAGTACTTTGGTTCAGCTGTTTCCCAGTCTCCCAGAAACAATGTGGTGGCCTCATTTATATACACAGTGGTCACTCCTATGCTGAATCCCTTCATCTACAGCCTGAGGAACAGGGACATTAGTAGAATCCTGAAGAAGCTCCAGAGAATGATGGTGAAATCTTTAATCGTATGGCATCCATCTTGGACAAATGTGTAAAAGTTAGAAAAACTGAACATGTGGACCTGCTACTACTGCTTTTCACGACAGATTTCTTTTAAAATTCTTGGCTTTAATTTCTTACAGTTTTTTCATTTAAGGGGATTTAATGGGCAAATGGGTGGAGAATATGGAGTTTTACAAATGAGCAAAAATTTCAGTTTAGGAAGCTTGTTACTGGCAGTTGACAATAATGATGATTGTCCCAAATTGTGAATGTGAAGAATGTCACGAAACTGTGAAACTAAAATATTTTATATGGTACCTGTGTAGCTATTTATAATTTGTCACGATTAGTGGAAATGAAAAGTTGTTGAAACTAAAATAACAAAGGAACTTTTAATTTTAACTCCTAATATTAATCATCTCACTTTTCTAATTGAACAACACAGAATTGCTAGCTGGATTAATAAAGCACAACTGCACCATTTCCATCTTTTTAGAAATGTGTCTCACTTACAAAGACAACATTGGCTTGGGTGAAATGATGTTAAAACATTTTCCACTGAAAATGTGTGAAAGATGAGTAATACTTATATCTCATAAAATAAAATTCAAACCAAGATGACACAGAGGAGAAAAAGAATCAGTTCTCTTTAATAATAGGAACAATCCATTAATTGGAGTTGAAAGTTGCTAATATATGCATCAAACAACAACACATCCAGATTCATTAAAAAATACTATGGAACATAAAGTCAATGATAGACGTTAACACAATACTAGCAGGAGCCTTCCATAACCAGCTCTCACTAAGAGATAGGTCATCCAGACCAAAAAAAACCCAAAACCAACAAACTTCAGAATTGAGTGAAAATACAGACCAAATGGTCTTAACTGAGAAACACAGAATATTTCATCCAGCAGCTACCCAATACACCTTCTTCTCAGGTTTCCATGGAACTTTCTACAAAGTAGATCTAGTAAACCAATGTATAAAGCAACATTACCCTGATACCAAAACCCAATAAGAACACAATAAAAAAGGAAAAATTATAGAGCAATTTGTTGACAAATACAGAAGCAAATATTCTTGCAAAATAAATTCAATCACACATTAAAAAGACATGGTAAGCATAAAAAATGTTGGTTTCATTCTAAGGATGCAAGGATGGTTCATCATAAACAAACCAATAAATATAAAAAAGCATATAAAACATCAAGGATAAAAATCACATGATCATCTCACAAGATTCAGAAAAGCCTCTAAAAACTTTAAAATCCTTTCAAGATCAAAGCTGCAGAAGCAACTAAGAATAAAAAGAACACACTTCAACATAGTAAAGCGTATATAAGAACAACCTACAATCAACATTGTACTAAATGGGGCAAAATTGAAATCATTTCTTCTAAAGTTAGGATTGATCCCCATTTTTATTTAATAAGAATATTCCCATTCTTATTTAATATAATATGGGAATTTCTATTCAGAGCAAGAAGGAAGAGAAAGAAATAAAAGGGATTCAAATAGGAAAGGAAGAATTCAAATTATCTTTATTTGGAAACAATTTGATTCTATATTTAAAAACCCTAAGGTTAAACCAAAAAATATTAGATCTAGTAAATACCTTCTGGAAAAGAGTAAGAAATTACATTAATGTACAAAAATCAGTAGTTTTCCTTATTCCAACAAGGAACAGGTTGCATCAGAAATCAGAAAAATGATTACATTCACAATAGCTTAACACACTGTAGAAATAAACTAAACTGAAGAGAATAAAGACTCTACAAGGAAAAATATAAAGAGGTTGAAGACATCAGAAGATGGAAATATCTTCTGTGCTCATGGATATACAGAATTCATTTGCAAATGACTATACTATGAAATGGAATCAACATATTCAATAAAATCCCCATCAAATTTCCAATGCTGTTCTTCACATAAACAGAAAAATGAATTTTACAATTCATATACATCACAAAGACTCCAAATAGCATGGTCAGTCATGGGCAAGAAAAGTGCTAGAGACATCACAGCAACACTCAAATTATACTACAGACCCGCAGTAACCCAGACACAGCATGGCTCTTACACAAAAGCAGACATGAAAACTAAAGGAATAGGAAGAACCAGAAATAAATCCATACTACTTCATCTAATTGGATTTTGACTGAAGAACCAAAAACATCCACTGGAGAAAAAACAGCCTCTTCAAAAATGCTTTTGCAAAAACTATCTGTATATAGGTCACTAATCATAAAATTTAGTGTTTATGAATGGAGAAATACAACTACCCTACACTTATATAATTTGGGGAAATTTGAACTTGTGTAAAAGAAAGGCTTGTGTTAATTAAAACCTGATAAGGATCTGACACACATATGAATACTGTATACTGCAAAAGCACAATAAATATTAATTGCAGAAGGCAATGGAATTTATCCAAAACAGATCATATTATAGGTCACAAAACAAGTTTTAACAAATATAAAAAAACTGAAATAATCCCCTGCATACCATCTGACCATAACACAATTAAAGTACAACTGAACGACAAAAGAAACAACATAAATACTCAAGTATGTGGACACTGAACAACTCATTGCATTGTCATTGAAGAAAAAAGTGAAGAAATTACAGTGTCTGGAATTTTATGAAAATGAAAGCATAACCTTCAGAAACTATGGAAGACAGAAAAAACAGTTGTAAGTTGAAATATTATAGCCATGGATGCATATATTAAAAATGCAGAAAAATGTCAAATAAACGACCTAATGCTGCATCTCAAGCTCCTAGGAAAACAAGAACAAGCTAAACCCAAAATCAGCAGGGGAGAAAAAAATAAAAATTAGAGCCAAAATATATAAAATAGAGACAAAAAAACAAGCAATTAATCAACAAAACAAAAAGTTGGTTCTTCAAAAAAAAAAAAAAAACAAAGTTGACAAACCCTTGGGAAATGTGACTAAAATGAGAAATGAAAAGACCCAAATTAATAAAATTAGAAATGAAAAAGGGTAGACCACAACAAACTCAAAGGAAACTCAGGGAATCATTAGGGAATACTTTGATAACCTATATTCAACTAAATTCAAAAATCTAGAAAAAATGGACAAATTCTAGACACATATGACCAGCATAACTGAACCAAGAGGATATAAATCAACTAAACAGATCTATAACAAGCAATGAAATTGAACAATCAACAGTTTCCTAAGAGAGAAAAGTCTGAGAACTGATGGATTTACTGCTGAATTCTACAATATACTTAAGGAAGAACTAATACCGAGATGCCTACAACTTTTCCATAAAGTAGAAAGAGAAGGAAACTTCCAAGCTCATGCTATGGTCAGTATAACATTAATCCCAAAATTGGACAGGGATAGAAGAAAAAAGTAAATAACAAGAAAGTCTCTTCAATGAACTTAGATGCAAAACTCAGTAAAATATTGGCAAAAACTGAATTCAGTGACATATCAAAAAGATTACATGGCATGATTAAGTTGCTTTCATTCCAGGGTTTCAGGGCTGGTTCAACATAGGCAAATCATTAAATTTAACACAGCATATAAACTGAAGCAAAGAAAAAAAAACTGCTACATGATCGTCTCAAAAAATGAAGAAAATTCCCTGGAGAAAATTCAAAATACTTTCTGATGAAAGTAAGAATAATAGAAAGATGCCTCAATATAATAAAGGCCAACAAACCTATAGCCAACATTAAACTATGTGAGGAAACACTGAAAGAATTTCCCCTAAGTCAAGAATGAGTCAAGTGTGTCCACTCTCTCCAAAGTTTTTCAAAATAGTATTGGAATTACTAGCTAGATCAATAAGGCAAGAAGAAGAAATTAATTTAAATCAAAAGTAAAAGAAGAAAGATTCCAAGATGGCAGCTAGAGGGAGGAAGCAGAAAGTGTGCCTCCTAAGTGAAATCTTGGAGAGACACTGGAGACACAACTTGCAGGCAAAACCACTGAGAAGAGGCAAAACTTAGACCCCTCCACACCTCCAGCCGGCGCAGAGCATCTCCACTTCACGTTAAATGGAGAAACCAGGAGGGCCCCCGGGCCGAGAGTCGCCCATGCCCAGACAGCTTGGGAAGATGCGGACAAGGTGAGCTTAGAGGTACTGTGGTACTCCCACAGACCACCCTGGGCCAGAGCAGCATAGCCCCCTGGACAGATCGACCTCCACCCAGGGAAAAAAGAGAAACTGAGTAATAAGCAATAAGAACAATAAAGACACATGGGAAAGAGGGTAGGGCGCATTGAGCCCCGAAGATTGGGGGAAGGGAATCCTTCCCGGAACTTTAAATAAACAAGCCAGATGGGCCAGAGAGGCTCCAGGGGGAGTGGGGGTGTGCACCCAACAACCAGGAGCAGGAAAGCTTGTGAGAGTGGTGGAGGGAGGAAAACTCCACAGGAGAGGAGGGAAGACCCACTTCCCATGTGAGCTGTAAACAAACATGGAGGCTGGCAGGAGCAGCAGCACCACCCAGTAATCATGAGCAGGAAAGCTTGTAAAAGTGGAGGTGGGAGGAAAACTCCACAGGAGAGGGGGAAGAACCACTTCCCACGTGAGCAGTGAACAAACAGGAGGGCCTGAGAAAGCCGGTGCAGTGTCACCTCCCCCACTGTGCTTGGAAAGGGGAAATCTTGCAGCAGAGGCTCCCACACAGGAGAACTCTGAGTAAACAAAGCCTGCAGGGCAAGGTGAGTGCTAAGCTCACCCCTAAGATCTGCATAAATAACATCTCCAGCAACAGCAGGTTGACAGCAGTGGGCAGGCAAGCAACAGCCACAGATACCATTTACAGAACTGTAAAGAGAACTTAAAATAAAATAGGTCCTGGTGAGGTTTTGTATCACTTGGAAGGGAGAGGATATAAGAAAGGTGAAGGAGACAGAATGTAGTGTATATATAATTACACTACATAATGTAATATGCTACATTTTCATAATGTTTGAAAATAGAGATGAGTCATGTTGAAACATTTCCAGAATGTGGGGGGGAGTTGAAGATAAAGGAGAATTCAATTATGTTATAAGAACTTTTG